GCGAACAGGCCGAATGTTTAAGGGATTCGGCCTGTTAGCTGATTTTCCTGTAGGTCAACTCCCTGGAGTTTGGGGAGTTGACCTAGAAAAGCCGGAACGGAACCAGTGAACCGGTTGTTATTAAGGCTGAGGATGCCTAAGTTGGTGAGGCTACTTAAGAATTGCGGGATTGGACCGCTGAGGTCGTCCCAGTTAAGAGAGAGGTATTTTAGTTTAGTGAGTTTGCCAATGACTGGCGGGATAGGACCCGTGAGGTTGGGTAATAATCGTAAGATGAGGGTTTCGAGGTACGGGAGATTATCGAGGGTGGTGGGGATTGTACCTACAACCTCATCCGAGCCAATGATTTCGAGGAAGTTAACACGGTGGATATTTGTCTTGGGGATCTTCTTGCATAGTACACCACTCCACTTGTTGCAACAATCGTTTTGTCGTATCCATGTTGAGAAGATGCTCAAGTTGTTGCCAAAGTAAGCCTTGATTTCGAGGAGTGCTCGTTCGTCGTCCGGGTAGCAGCGTCGTTGTAGTGGTTGTGGTGGTGGTGGTGTTGGGGAGAGTGAAAGGTTGAGGGAAGGGAGGAGGAATAGGAGAGTTATGAAGAGGAGGGTATAAATATATGGTTTGGTTTCCATATTTGTAATTTTAAGAGGTTTTTGCTTGTGTGTTCACAGCATAATTGGAAAGTCATATATAAGGTTTAGATTATAAGCATTTACTCCATTCATCTCATAATATCTTACACAGTTAACTTTGCACATATGTCAATACACTAGTTTGACTTTAATTTTGTATAATTAAATATTAATGAAAATAATTTTTTTTTGAAACTTTACATTAAAACCTATCTAACAACATATGTTATAATGTAATGTATTTTTATCATGTTAGTAAAAAAATTATTGTCAAAGCTAATACATGAAAAATGAAAAAAGTCTAACGTTTCAGATATTCTAAGACAGAGGGAGTATCAAAGTGCATGATATGTCAGTAAAGTTGTGAGATATTTTTATAAAATTAAAGTTGGTCTGGTGAGTGGTACGGTGAATTATGATCATTAGACCATTAAATATATAGTACGGACTACTATGTATGTATTTGTTGTACAAAAAGTAATATGGATTATATAATCCTTCTAGTGAATTATGAATTAGCTAAGTGAGACAAAACCATTAAAAGTTAAAAGGAAAATGTTGATAATTTGACTTATACAGTAGTTAGTTGGTACATGTTGTAATTTTAATTTAATTATTTATGGTAATATTGTACTAAGATTAGAATGCTAATTGAGCAAATTGATCATAGCGCGCTGAGAAGAGCACGACACAACTTGAATCTAAATTCTTTACATGTACTCTACTCTTACTTGTTACTTATTAAACTCAATAACAATTTATTCCATTTGTACTCTTAAAAATTTCGAGTTGAATCAACTAGAATAAAATTTTAATGGGATCAAGTTTGGAATACTCATAAGTTGCCAGATCAACTCAATTAGCTACCACCCCTAAGGATCCTAACTATTAAAAATATATAATAAATTAAAGTTTTCCAAATATTTAGAATTATTTTTAATTTGGGCCAAATCAGTTGGAGCCTGAAATTCGAGCCCAAAAAATATGCTCAAAACCTAGGCAAATTTAGCCCAGACAACTATACAATCTCTCAATACTCCGTATTATGGACGGAGATAGTAAGTAGGATACGGAGTACTTAGCGTGTGTTGAATGGAAATACTGCTGGCAAGCAGAGGCGTCTCAGTCAGTGTGGGATTTCTAAGCCGAATTTCTTGATTTGGTTCAATTATACATGTTCTTACCAAAAAGTGCATGTCAGGTCTATGTCTTTACTTACAGTCTGTGGTCAAGAGTAGTGTGCTCTTTTACTCAATGCATTCTTCACAACTGGTCCTAAATTGCTACTGCACTATTGTTTAGGCGAGAGGTTTGTGTAAACATACGTAATTATTTGTGTCTCAGCTGTACAGATATACATATCATCAATGAACACACGTGACACACACAAATGGAACAACATAATTAAAAAAATATAACCCCAAAATACCCCATAATGCAAAACGAAGCATTTATGTTATTTTTTTTGTCAAATCAGAGCTCAATTTGGTCTTTTAAGAACTAAAATAGCCCCCAAAACCTTTAATGAAACAATTTTCAATATGCAAATCGATAAAAAAATATTATTAATTGGGGAGTGGACCCTACTAACAAAATTTGTCAATGGCGTGATAACAACAAAGTTATCGTATAGAAAATAAATGTATTTTGGGTTATAGTTAGGGATGTCAAATAGGAGACCTGATAAGTCGTGTTTTGTGCATATTTGTTAGCTTATTTTTGGTTGGTTTTATTAGCTTAGTCGAGTGTTTTAGTCCATTTTGGTGTAATTTGGTTTAGTTTCGATGATTCGATGCTTTTATGGGTAGTTTCGTTGTTTTTGATGTATTTCAGGATTAACGGAGCTAATTGAGTGAAAATGAAGCAAAACGTTGATGAAATACTTGACAAATATGACACCTGTTCACTATTATGCTTATAACTTTTGATATACAAATGATAATGGAGTGATTCAAATTGCATTGGAAAGTAGACTTGAAAACCTTTCCAACAAAATATTACACGCCTCAAACAGAGCTCCGGATATGAAGTTATGACTGATTTAAGATGAGTGATACGCGCAGCAGGGGAGGCACGTCCGTGCCTAGATGAGGCACGTCCGTGCCTCCAAGTCAGTATACTCATCAAATTGCTTCGACACTAGGCACGTCCGTGCCCAAGACTGCATAATTACACTCGTCAAGAGGCACGTCCGTGCCCAGAACAGGCACGTCCGTGCCTGGAAGTCTGAAGCCGAAGAAGTTTTCACTCGCTCAGAGGCACGGACGTGCCTCCTGGGAAGATTGTGCGCCAAGTATTTTAATCGTTTTCTTGTTTTTCTAGGAGTATAAATACACTAAGTAAAGTTTTATTTGGGGATCAAGTTTTATTTTAGCCTTTAGTTTTACGTTGTTAAGAACTAGTTCTCTCCATTTATTTTCTTTGCTTTTGTAATTCAAGATTCAAGATTTACACTTTCCGCCTTCAATTTAATTCAAGATTTGGTATTTTCTTTTCATCTCTTATTTCTTAATTATGTTTTCTTTAATTATTTTTGTTATTTTTTATTCTATTATGAGTGAGTAGATTTCCTATTCCAAGGTCTAGGGTAGCCCAATTATGATTGATGCATGAATTAAATCTTTAAATTCTCTAATGACTTTTGCAATTGCTATGCTAAATTGATTGTGATTATGCCAATACTAGGTTAGACGTAATTTTAGTATTGTGATTATTCCATTGTTTCTATCACAGCGAGAGTTGGGTTTAAACGGATCAGAGTAGATTAATTTAGGGTTTGATTTTTCAACATGAGAATAGTTGGGTTGATAATTGGGAAGTTAGAGTAATGTGTTTAATGTCTCTAATTTGCATGATACCATGAGAATAGGTTTGATTGTATGTTAGGGAAGCCATTGATACTCGAGAGAGGTCCTTGATATTGATTAGGGTTTACTTTTCCCCATTCAATTGGAATCGTATGTTAGGGGTAGAAATATAATTGCATTGATCGTAATTGTGGTGATACTTGATCTTGGATGTTTTAATTATTTGATTATCATATTCTTTAGTTTATTTTCGATTTTTACATACATTAATTCTTTAGTTAATCGATCATTGTTGAATTTTTTTTTAGTAATAACTTGAGTCTAGATAATTTTAGGTGAACCATAGTCTCTGTGGGATCGACCCTGACTTACCCTACTACATAGTTAGGAGGATTAGTTAGGTTATTTTTGTTAGGTGTGCGACCGCCGATCAAGACCTGCCCTATCCCCGCCCTGTGGGGCGGGGATGGGTCTTGGTTTGATGGGTGATGGGGCGGGGATGGGGATAAAAACCATACCCGCCATGGGTGATGGGGCTGGAGTGGAGTTTAGGTTGTACCCGCCCCATCCCCGCCTCGCGCCACCCGCCCCACTTCGTACCCCCTCCCCCATCCCCACCCACCCACTTCGTACCCACCCCATCCCCACATTCATATATTTTTTAAAACAAAATTATATACTTTTATACTATTTTATAAAAAAAATTATGTAAAATAAAATAGTACATATAATACTTTGTAAAACACTTATATTATAAACAAAAAAATGTGTAATATTAACAATAATTTTTTTCTTTTTGCAATCTTTATTAATTATGAAGGATTGTGTATTTGAAAAGTGGGGATTAAATTAGGCGGGTCTTAGGTGGGGTTGGATATCCAATTGGAGGTTAGGGCGGGGATGATTTTGGAATTGTACCCACCGGGACGGGGATGGGGATGAATTTTAGACCCGCCGCGTGGATGGGTATGAAAATTTTAGATGGGGATGGGGATGAGAAGGCCAATATCCGCTTCGCCCCGCCCCATTGACATCCCTAGTTATAATGTAGATTTTTCAAAAAAGGGAGACACATCGCAAAAAACGGAAAATTAAAGAGTTATATTAAACATTTTTTGTGGAGCTTTTGCACAGGTACCCTACCTGTCCGAAAATTGCTACATTATCGACACATGATTGACACCCCTAGATGCCCTTGGTGCACCCCTAGATGGTCACGCGATATTGGATGTGTTAGAGTGCAAGAATTGTGGGAGGATAGTGGCTGCACAGCTATGTCTAGGTGGGAAGATGTAGATTCGATATGTGATTTGATTGAGAAATGGAATACTCTTGATAAAAAGCTGGTGCAGCAAGGGGCTTTCCTTGCGTGGTGTATTTGGCATGACACGAATATGAAGGTTTTCGAAAATAAAATGACTCCAAATGCGCTGCTGCTGTCTCGTGCTGCACGTCTTGCTGAGGAATATGGACTGTCCGCTGCACGTGTGTACAAGAACTCCATAATTAGGAAATACCGGATTGATTTGTATACTATATGACAATTTGACAAATTCAAAAATTATCAGAAAGAAAAAGAAAAAACTTTTATTCCTTATACTTTCAACTGATTACATCAAATTTTTACTTGCATTTTACAGCCAAAGGAGCACCACATAGACATTTATTGCGACCAAAGCTTGAAGCACTAAACTTCTTCAAACCACTAGGTATGGGGCCGCAAAGCTGATTATTGCTCACATCTAAGCTCTTCAACGTCTTTGGCATCGGAGGTATAGACCCGGTGAGCTTGTTGTCTGAGAGGTTCAACTGTGTAAGTAACGGCAATGAAGTCACAGACGACGGAATAGGCCCAGACAGCTGATTCCCAGAGAAATCTATTTCCTTAAGCTTCTTCAGCTTGAAAATCTGACTAGGAATTGGGCCGGTTAAACTATTATGACCGATATCGAGGTGATACAGTTTATTAAGCTTAGCTAGGGATGTAGGGATAGGACCGGTGACATTGGTGTTACCTGCTAAAGTAAAGAAGTCGAGGAAAGGCAGGTCGCCGATGTCTGAAGGTATAGTGCCCGAAAGACCGATGTCAGGGCTGAATGTTACGCCCGTGACTCGGCCGTATTCACTGCCGGGCTTGCTGCTACAACCCACGTAATTAAAAGCAAGACAACAGTCCGAGTGGGCATCCCAGTCGGAAAGTGGACCGTTGATGCCTCCGAAATGATCGCGGATTTTAATTAACACGGCTTGGTCTTGGGCGTTGCATGGTGGGACGTCTGCATTTGTAAGTGTGAGGGAAGATATGAGGAGAGTAAAAGATACAAGGAGAGGTAGTTTTGGAGGTGTCACCATTTTTTCAGTTTTTGAGGCTAAAAGTCTACTCGAAATTATTAAGGGTTGTGTGAGAATATAAAATGCATGATTAAGAGGGGGTATTTATAATTGCTTATCATGCCTTTATTTATTTATTTATCTATTTATTTTTTGTGTAAAGATCAACAGTTAATGTTAAATGATATACTCCCTCCATTCATATAAAATAATTACGTCTGTCATTTTGGACGTTTTCTTTTGTTGGTTATATTATTATTATTATTATTATTATTTAATTTTTTTTTTATCATATGCATATTTTTACACATTTTGTTATTTATATACACCTACTTTCAATGCAACTATTCTCATTTATCTACTCCCAAAGCAATTATCATTTCTATGTAACTCTTATTTTCAACTTGACTTAATGCCATAATACATGATATATGCTACATCTAGTCATTGTTTTCACTATATTAATTTCCTGTCATTGTTTTTCAATATATTAATTTCCTTAATAACCACATAATTCACCAAATATATTTATGAATGAATGAAGTGGCTTCTAAACTATCTGACCTCAAAGACTTCTCAACTCCTTTTTACCTCATAGTTACGTGTGAATGAAGATGACATATTTTTGGAGTTTAAAGAGCTATAATGGCAGATGATGAGTATCGATTCCAAAATCTCATGAGATTGAGAGAAAAACTTTAACCACTTGAGCTATCTTTCATTCTCAAATGAAGATGACATACATATGTGTTATTTTGAGGTTGTGTAATTAAATAATCGCATACAGTGATTCGTCGGTGCTATTATTTCCTGTTGTAGCACTTCAAGTAACAATTAGCTTTTGACCAATAATTCAAAATAATAGTTGAAAATAGTTAATAAGTTGATCGTGATGAAAACATATGCATCACAAAACTATATTCCAAAAAGCGCTTTTTAATATGATAGAATAGTCGTTTCAACAATATATTACTTTAATTCGTAACAAACTTCCAACTCTTTTCCTAAAAAGCATTTACAACTTTATTTTATCGAATTGACTCACTTGCTAGTTGCTACTCGATGCTATCTTATCCAAATGTAGCTTCTTGTTGAGTTTTCAAAATGATTTTGATTTCAGAATTAATTAATGATTTTAACGCCAAACTTAAAATTAAATGATGTTTCTGGTTTTACGAATCAATCTCCGTGGCTCATTCTCAAACATCTATCCCAAGTTCAATTGGGACAGGCGTAGACTTTTATCTTTTACTTGTCTATAAATGATTAAATTACTCACAGTTGTCTTTTAAGAGCGAGAGAGTTCACTTCACACGATCAAAATATTTTCAATCCTAAATTCATATGTCAATGAAAGGAGTAACTCATTATGCTTATTAAGATGCTTTTATTAACATGAATTAATTCATATACATGCATGTGATGTGTGGATTGGAAATGCCGTTATGATCCAACAAACACAAATAACAAAATAAAAAGTTTTACACGAGTGGACAACGCACATCACCACTAATATAACACAGAGTACTTCCAACAGTCATCACTTTTGAACTTTAATACCCCCAACCTGACCAATAAGTGAATAACCAAACCTATTAACAAAATATTTCATAAAAATAAAACATTAGTTTTGATTTCGCTAATAATAAAATTATGGTCCAAGTTAATATATATGAATAATGAAAAAAAAAACATATAAATAGCCGGTATGAATGTGAACGGTGCACTCTTTTATTTTGCGCTGTGTGCCACTGCTTTCACACTTGCCTAGCTAGGAGCCTAGGACCCTTCCGATGAAAATGCAGTACTTTCAATTACCATTTGATTAAAAAAAATTTATTTCCTATCAAGTTGGCAAGAGTTGTTTAAATGAAATATGTTAAAAAATGTGTTCATTTCCTATTTTTTATGTGCATCAATTTAGAAGGTTATAAACTAGATGAAGTTAAAAGCTATGCAAGTGGATTTAGTTGAGGTCTTGGGGAATCTTTGATAATCATGAAACACGAGAAATAAGTGGGGACAAATATAAGCAATCGATTCTTGGTAAATAATTATTCGGTGTGGGACCAAAGAACCAGAGTCATGCTGACATAACAACCCTACAATAGCACATAAAGTTTGCAGGCATCAAGAAAAAGATTTGAAACAATAAACAATAATTATTCGGTGTCCACGGAATTCACGTGTAGCCGTAGCTCAACTAGGATTTTCTTAAGCCTTTACTCGTTTAAAATAATGTACACGTACAAGCGTTCCACATAATCATGTTTATGAATTAATAAGTTATAACTAGGAGTAATACTGTGGTTAGTAATTGTGTTTAGATTTTGGTTAAAGTGTCAAAAATGAACTTATATGTACGGATTACTTAGTAGGATTAATGGTAAGAATTACGAAATTTTTCTAATGATAATCCAACGTTGTTGTTAAGTCGATGATAATTAATTTATACATAGCTAACATCAAACATTCAATAGATGTGAAGGATTCTTAGTCAAACTATTACAACTATGACTTTGGCCAAACAAGTAATTCCAATAGTTTACTACTCTGCCATCCCTTGGCTGTGCAAGTCACAACAACAATCAAAACAATGTGGCCAAAGTCCAAAGACCTTCAAAAGGAAATGAGCACACATGTGTGAAACACCGATAACTCTTCATAGACTCAGAATAAAAATGCCAAAATGGATTTCATAACAAACATACATATAACACTCTGTTGTTTTCTTAAGATAATAACAATTGATAATTTTCTCTATTTTAACCATTGGTCATCAGGGATTAGTCGTAAGTTAAGATGACTCTCATTTTACAATACTTTGTACTTCGACAATTCTTCAATTGCTAATTGAATCGCATAGCTCGTTAGAATGCAGTATTATGTACTCCGTATTATGTATTGCGAGTGCATGTTTGGATATTACTCATCATGTTTAGCCAATTTTGTATACATTATTATTTTTTTTGACGGGATAGTACTAAAAATTGGTATCATAATAGATTTGAAATCTTCTAATTCATATTTTAGTTTTGTTATTTCTAATAATCATTTTCTTACTCACTCTAATTTGTTCCATATTTCATGTATACCAAACCTTAGTTCCACATACTGAAAACTAACAAGTTCACTATACTTTTTTTTAAACAAAGAAAAGAGCTTATATTACAACTAGGTGGTTAAAACCATCTAGGACAATCAGAGTTTGTAGCAAAAAGGGACTGTCATGACTCCTCAAAGAGGGAAAATTGCAGTCATGAAGCGCAATACCACACAATAAACAAGTTCACTATACACAAGTCATAACATAACATAACATAAAATTAATGAAAATTGTGCATGTGAATTTCCAAAACTTTGCCATTTCTGTAAAACCAAGTTCCAATTTACATTATATTGGTGGTAATTAGTGCATTTGGTTGTCCTAGTAAAAGGAAAAAAAAAAAAAATTGCCTTTTTAATTGCTTATCCAATCCTCTATAAATAACCCTTTTATTTATCTAGCAAACCCGCACACTACCCTGAAGCATTTCATACTACTTGCAAAAAAAAAAAAAAAAAAAAAAAAAAATGAAGAATAATCCATGCATAACTTCCGTCCTTTTCTTCTATCTCATCTTCCTCCTCCTACCTTCCCTCAACCTCGCTCACACTCATGCTCATCATCGACCACACCGCTGCTACCTGGCCGACAAACAAGCCCTCCTCGAAATCAAGGCTGGGTTCAGTGGCGGAGCTAGCATTTTCTCAACATAGTCACCACACACAGACTGCTGCAAGTGGAGTGGTGTACTATGCAAGAAGATCCCCAAGACAAATATCCGCCGTGTTAACTTCCTCGAAATAAGCGGCTCAGATGAGGTTGTAGGAACAATCCCCACCACCCTTGATAAACTCCCGTACCTCGAAACCCTCATCTTACGACTATTACCCAACCTCACAGGCCCAATCCCACCCGTCATCGGAAAACTCACTAGACTAAAACTCCTCTTTCTTAACTGGGACAACCTCAGCGGTCCCATCCCAAATTTCTTAAGTCACCTAACTCATTTGGAGTCTCTTAGCTTGAACAATAACCAATTTACCGGCTCGATTCCAGCTTACCTAGGTCGAATCCTGTTGGAACAACAAGTGTGTAGTGTGTGAATTTTGTGAAAAACTCAAAGTCCCACATTGGTGGGAAATGAGAGTTTTACTCTCTTTATAATATAGAGAGTGGGCTAAAGGGGTGTGGCCCTTGGGCTACCCACATTTTGTGGAGAGGGAGGACCTATATGGTAAACCATCTATCACACACGCGCGCCGAACCGGGCCGGGCCGAGTTGGGTCGGGTCGGGTTTATTAAATAAACTTATTTTTTGGACAAGGCTAATTGCGTGATTAGTTCCTTGATTTTTGCTAAACGTTTTTGACTGATTACATTTGACCGTTTTTTCAAAACTGATTAATGGAGCGTTAATCATGCAAACGTTTTCACTGATTTTTTGCTAAACGTTTTGCCACGCATTAATCTTCTGTAACCGTTTTGAACGTTCAACTTATGACCGTTTTAATTGCGTGATTAGTGCCTAATTAAACAGCAGCAGTTACGTTGCAATTTTTCCTATAAAAGGCGTGTTGATTTCCTGTTTTTGATACACAAAAAATACAGAAAGCAATCTTCTTCTCCTCTCTATTTTTCCTCACAAAAACAAAACCCTCGAGCAGTTTCTTTTCTTTTTGGGTGTTTAGTTGCCCGGTGGTTTTGTGCAGTTCCACCGGTATAATTTCAATAGAGAAAGGCTGTTTTATCCTGGGGAACATCCGGTTTAGTACGAACTGCTTGCACCTTTTCAGGGCAGTGCCGTGAATGTTCTAAAGAAAGCGACATAGTCCGCGACTCAGTCTATTTTTCGGTAACTTTGTTCTTACTGTTTTTGTTCCCGCAGTTCCGTTTATAACAAATCCCTAATCTAAAGGGACTCGACTTGCAGATTAACCAGTTAACCGGTAAAATCCCAGACACATTCGGTTCTTTCGCCACTGGTTTTTCCTTACAATTGTCCTACAACAAGTTATCTGGTACAATCCCAAGGTCTCTAGGAAAGGTCAACTTCGGAACTCTAGAACTGTCACATAATCATCTCACAGGTGACGCGTCCTTCCTGTTCGGGGAGGACAAGTCCGAGTTGAATCACTTGGACTTGTCGAACAATCGCTTGTCGTTCGACTTGTCCAAGGTAGTGTTACCCGTGGGAGACACTTCTAGCTTGCTTGAGCTTAAGTTGAGCCATAACCAAATATACGGGCGGCTGCCTGCTTGGTTGGGACGTGCCGCAGGTTCATTGGCCCAATTCGACGTAAGCTACAACCGTCTTTGCGGGCCGATACCGAGAGGGAAGCTGCAAGGGTTTCCTGCGGAAGTGTTTGAGCATAATTTGTGCCTGTGTGGTGCTCCCTTGCATCCTTGCAAGTCTTAAACTAGCTGCGTGCATATGTTGTAATAATGTGCGTTGAACGTAATTAGTTGTATGCTTTAGCTAGTGTGCTAAGTGAGTTCTAGTTTTAGCTACGAGCCAACGAATGTGAAAGCTGAAGAAAAATAATTGGAATCCATTTTATTGCGGTTAATGTTTTCATACTCGTACATATATTCTGATATTCATTCAAGTTTATTACGAGTAGTGTTAGATCTCTAGCAGCGGAAATATAGCTTCTACAAGATAATATGAAATCGATACCTCACAAAGATAAATAATATTTTTGAGATAGACAAATTACCACTATGAAGGAAATAATAAATATAAGAAAATAAACTTTTGACGTGAATAAAATGATTGAATTAATTAACTATGCATTACAGCCTAAACATTTTATAATAACATACGTGCTAAATTAGGAATGCTAAATAAGGAATGTTCTCTAAAGAAACAATGACGCACATTGTTTACTCTCCTACATTCCTCTTGCTCTATGATTAATGATTCCCCAAAAATTAGGGAGAATTAATCTCACAACCAATAACACTTATTTCTACAAGTAGCATGCTAAATTGAATATTGTTAATGAATACTTGTACCGAGGAATTCTATGTCCTCAAATAACTCAAGTCATGAATGGTTATAATAACAGCATTGGTATTTTACAAGATATTATCATGATTTCCAAATATTACCTTTTCATTATTACGTAAATATAACAAATGCAAAAGGTACGTAGTTATGTAGGTCTTAATGTAGAATTTTTTGTTGGTATTCAGATGATACTATATAAGCACAATTTAATACTAACACGTGTTTTTTGCGTCACTTATGGCTCAAGCTGTTAAAGACAGATAGGGGCGGAGCTACGTTGGTGCACAGTGGTGCACGTGCATCACAAGCAAAAAAAATAAAAATAAAATTGAAAGTCCAATTAAATAAATAATAATAAATCAATCAAAGAGACCGTTATTTGAAATAACAGGTCTTTTTTTTTTTTTTTTTTTTTTTTTTTTTCTATTATATCTTTATATGTGTGCTTCCAATTGTAATTTTTTTTTAACATAAAAAAAATAAAAAAGTAGTACAGCAGAATCTATGATTTTCAAATTATAAAATAAACATATACTTATACTTTAGTTATTTTTTATCATCGTACATAATTTTAAACACCGTCCATGTTTTAATAAGTGTTACACTTACTGTGTGGACGTGTTTTAATAAGTGTTACACTTTTTTTTTTGGCAAAAAGCTACATTTAATATAATATCTCTCTCCTCTCATGATCCTTACCCAACCCACTACTACTTTTTTATTATTTTTTTTCTCTCACATTCATTACCTTTCAATAAACTATTAACCCTACTGTATTTCTTTTACAATTATTTAATACTCCAACTACCCTACTTACCTCTTATTTTATTTAAGTCAATTATATTGCCTAAACTATGTCCGATCAAAGTGTAACACTTATTAAGACATGGAGGGAGTAGTATTATTTGTTTGTAACATGTTATTTGTAGTACTTTCAACATGTAAGATGGATTTTTTAAGTACTAATTGGTTGTAGTATGGATTTTTGTATCCTATTTTTGATTGAAATCAATTTGGTTGTAGTATAATTTTATTTTATTTTATTTTGTATAACATTTGGATTGAAATCAATTATGAACTAGATCCGATTTTTTTTTTCCACATGTAATCAATACTTGATGGTGACTCACCATCTCGAAAATCTTGGATCCGCCACTGGAGACAGAAATGTTTGTAAGGAGCTTCAGCTGCACAAAGACATTGGCCATGTTTCGTAATTATATTTTTGACAGTTTTTTTTATTAGCTTTTGGCTTTTTTATGCGGTCAAACAACCAAAAAAAGTGTTTGGTAATTGGCTTTTCATTCAGCGAAAAAATTGGCTTTCAAGTCAAATTGAAAAAGTTGTTATGAGTAGCTTTTTTTGTTGGCTTTTGGCTTGTGGGCCCCACAAATTATCCAATAAACAGCCAACAACCAACAACTAAATTTACTAAACACTTTTATAAATAGCCGACTTAAACAACCAATTTCAAAAGTCATATAAACAACAAAACATTCCAACTGGTCAAACAAGTCCAGTAAACTAGCCAACCGCCAACAGCCATTTGCCAAACAAGGCCATTAACTTTTTACTGTTGCTTTTGCTATGTTTGGCCCTTTGAGAATTTATCATTTTAAATTAAAAATTTTGACATGTAAATATTTTGCAATACATGATACTGTAGGTTACTAAGGTTAGCAGTCTTTAGGGTTTTCAACTTAAATCCTCAAATGTTAGCTTGTTAACGAGCTTTAATTTTGAGTCAAGATAAGATTAGTTGTGCTTGATTATTAATTTATTATGACTTTTAAGTCGGTCTCGAATATTTTGTAACCTAACTCGACTTATTAATATTTCCAATTAGAAGATTTTAACGAGTAGTGTTTTTATATCAACAGATATAAAAAGGTTAATTGTAATCATATTTCAAAAACACTGAGAATACATGTCAACATTTATACAATAGTATATATTTTTGGGTTTTTCTATATTATAACCCTTTAACTTTTCGTTTTCTGCGATGTGTCTCCCTTTTTTGAGAAATTCACACTATAACCCCAAAATACATTTAGTTTTCATACGGTAACCTTACCGTTATCCCGTCGTTAACAAATTCCGTTAGTAGGGCCCACTCTCCAATTAATAATATTTTTTTTTATCGATTTGCGTGTTGGAAATTGTTCCGTTAAAGGTTTTGGGGCCTATTTTAGTTCTTAAGGGACCAAATAGAGCTCAGATTTGGCAAAAAAAATAACAAAAATGCCCCATTTTGCGTATTAAATACGTAAACACGCAAATCGAGACATCTCTTAATACGCAAAAAGAGGCGTTTACGTGTTTTTTTTTTCCAAAATTTGAGCTAAATTTGGTCTCTTAAGGACCAAAATATCCCCCAAAATCTTTAACGGAACAATTTCCAACACGCAAATTGATAAAAAATATTATTAAGTTGAGAATGGGCCCCACTAACGGAATTTGTTAATGGCAGGATAACGGCAAGGTTACCGTATAGAAATTAAATGTATTTTGGGATTATAGTGTGAATTTCTCAAAAAAGGGAGGGAGGGGGGTGTGAATTTCTCAAAAAAGGGAGGGAGGAGGGGGGGGGGGGGGAAGGGGCGGGAACCATCGTAGAAAAGGAAAGTTGAAGGTTACTGTATAGAAAAAACCCATATTTTTTTTTAATTATGTTGCTCCATTTGTGCGTGTCACGTGTGTTCATTGATGATATATATATTTTTACAGCTGACACACAAATAATTACGTATGTTTACACAAACCTCTCGCCTCTGCGTAAACAATAGTACAGTAGCAATTTAGGACCAGTTGTGAAGAATGCATTGAGTAAAAGAGCACACTATTCTTGACCACAGACTGTAAGGACCTGACATGCATTTTTTGGCAAGAACATGCATAATTGAACCAAATCAAGTAATTCGGCTTAGAAATCCCTGGTCCATTAAAGAAGATTGAACCCCACACTGATTGAGACGCCTCTGTTTGCCAGCAGTATTTCCATTCAACACACTAAGAGCATCTTTATTGGTGAACCCAAATAAATGGTTCATGGGTCACTATCACCATTTCTCTCTCATCTATATCAACCCAACAAACCATTTACAATATTCACTCTTAACAATGAACACTAAACAATGGTTCATCATCAATACTCCCTACCCCACCTTATTTTATTTTTGTAAATATAATTTTTTTTGTTTCATAATTATAATTTATTAACCCGATGTCAATGTAATTAATTGACGTATTTAATATTTTAATCGTGATTACTAATTAAGAAATTATCGCATTTTTTTATCAGCTTTTTAAAAAACTAATTCTTGTGATTAATATTTTTTAAACAACAACGCAGCTAATTTTAATTAACAAAAAAAAAAAAGAGGTACAAATCGTGATTACAGTTCTACAACTATAATCTAGTACATTTTATTTTAAAAAAAAAAAAAAACAACTACACATCGTTTTGTAAGATGTCCTTAGGGATAACCATTTGTTGTAAACCTAGTTGCCTAAGTTTTCGTTGTTACCAAATTTATTCCATATATGTTCGACCAAGTCGTTTTTTAGCTGCAAATGAGTCTGTTGATCCCCAATCTCTGTTCTACGAGACAAGTATAAGCCGATATCCACAATACGATCAGTACGGTACTCGGTAGTGTCCTCATTAGCGTTGCCTCCAGCATTCATAAACTCATTGGTATTTAATAATAATAATAATAACGACAATAATAATAAAAATAATAATAATAACGATAATAATAATAAAGGAAATAATAATAATAACGATAATAATAATAAAAATGATAATAATAACGATGATGATGATAATAATAATAAGGCTTAATTAGAAAATAACACCTGCAAAAAGACCCGATTTTGTTTATAACACCTTAACATTTCGAAATTTTATTATAACACCTACAAAAATCCCAAAATTTTGGTTTCACCACCCACTAACGGATTTTTGGATGGAAACCGTTAGTGGGACCCACTAGGGACACATGTCAGTTGTTTATTGGCTTAAAAATAAAAATTAGGGGTTTTTTTTTTATTAATTTTTATTTTTAAGCCAATAAACAACTGACACGTGTCCCTAGTGGGTCCCACTAACGGTTTCCATCCAAAAATCCGTTAGTGGGTGGTGAAACCAAAATTTTGGGATTTTTGTAGGTGTTATAATAAAAATTCGAAATGTTAAGGTGTTATAAACAAAATCGGGTCTTTTTGCAGGTGTTATTTTCTAATTTGGCCTAATAATAATAATAATAATAATAATAATAATAATAATAATAATAATAATAATAATAATAATAATAATAATAATAATAATAATAATAATAATAATAATAATAATATTGGTAATTATAGAGGGGATTTTTGAAGAGAAAAATATAGTAGAAAGAAATGGATTTTCAAAGTTGAAGAAAGTATAGCAATATGGGTGTCTATTTATAGAGGGGAAAAAAATAGAGCCGTTGGTAATTTTTTTTTTTTTGATTTGTGTTTTGTAAAATATATCCGTTGCAAAATTACAACGGATTTATTTAAAACAGTGACACGTGTCAAGCAGCGGTTGGGCCAAGTGGCGCGCTCCCAGCCGCTGCTTTCTATTTTTTTTTCCTGAAAAAAAAATAAAAATGGGTGGGGCCCACAATCCATAAATTCGTCCAAATGCTTGCAGCAGCAATCGATCCCACAACCATTCACTATGAACAATTATAGAGATCACCATTAAGCCACCCATTCACTTGTTCACTCATTGTGAACTATTTTTTTGTTCACCCTTAAGGCTGCCCTAAGTACTCCGTATCCTACTATCTCCGTCCATAATACGGAGTATTGAGAAATTGTATAGTTGTCTGGGCCTAAATTTGCCTAGGCTTTGAGCATATTTTTTGGGCTCGAATTTCAGGCTCCAACTGATTTGGCCCAAATTTTAAAAATAATTTTAAATATTTGTAAAACTTTAATTTTTATATATTTTTAATTTCATTGAGTTGATCTGGCAACTTATGAGTATTCCAAACTCAATCCGATCAAAATTTTATTCTAGTTGACTCGATTCAAAACTTTAAAGAGTACAAATGAAATAAATTGTTATCGAATTTAATAAGTAACAAGTAAGAGTAGAGTACATGTAAAGAATTTAGATTCAAGTTGTGTCATGCTCTGCTCAGCGCGCGCTATGATCAATTTGCTCAATTAGCATCCTAATCTTAGTACAATAGTACCATAGATAATTAAATTAAAATTACAACATGTACCAACTAACTACTGTATAAGTCAAATTATCAACATTTTCCTTGTTAACTTTTAATGGTTTTTTCTTACTTAGCTAATTCATAATTCACTAGAAGGATTATATAATCCATATTACTTTTTGTACAACAAATACATACATAGTAGTCCGTACTATATATTTAATGGTCTAATGATCATAATTCACCGTACCACTCACCATACCAACTTTAATTTTATAAAAATATCTCATAACTTGACTGACATATCATGCACTTTGATACTCCCTCTGTCTTAGAATGTCTAAGACGTTGGACTTTTTTCATCGTTATTGGTGTTAAAGTTGAGCCATAACCAAATATATGGGAGTCTGCCTACATAATTGGGGCAGGCACCTTTCATGTACCAATTCGATGTAAGTTATAACCAGCTTTGCGGGTCGATCCCGACTGTCGGAGGGAGGTTGCAGCAAAGCTTTCCTGCGTCGTCGTTTCAGCATAATTTGTGCTTGTGTGGTGATCCCTTGCCTCCTTGCAAATCGTAATTCATCTGCTGCAGCGTTGGAGTCAAACGTTGACTCGTTGTGTTGAAATAATGCTTGTTTTTAAGTTGTTTCTTTAATTAGTTATAAAGCAATTAGACATTGAATGTGAAAAGTGGAAGTGAAGTCAAAACCTTTATTTCTGTAAAAGAAAAAATAGATGATACGATCATACAAATTACATTACTGCTGATTGTTAAAGTTATGAAATGCGTGCCCTTTAGATATGATTGCTGAACTTTGTTAATCTAGGGGCTGTTATGGTATTTCAATTTATTACCTTGAGGATGCAATTGTAATTTTCACCTGATGATATGTACTTCTACCATGACTGGGCATCCACGTAACAACACGGCTGTACAGTTGGACTTCACGCCATATCAAATCTGTCAGTTAACGACAGACTTCACGCCACATCTAGTTACTTGATTAGTGTTAATTCATCTAGTTTACTATTTTACGGGGTTTACTAATAAAATATTACTAAGCATAATATGGACCAATTGACCTAAGTGGATCCGGAAATTTTGGGCAGAAGTCTAATTTTTTTTTTTTTGATTGATTAATTAATTAACACTAGTAGAAAAATTGAAAAAGGCACCCCCCTTTTCCCACCGGTTCTTAAAAACCGGTGGGAAAAGATTTGGGCGGGATTCGGATATTTACTTTTCGCACCGGTTCCTTTGAAACCGGTGGCAAATGTATGTTTTCGAACCGGTTCGAACTGGTGCTAAATGTGTTGTTTAAAAAAAAAAAGGGTAAATGGATATGCCACCGGTTCAACCCAAACCGGTGGAGAAAGTACGCAAATTAAAAAAAAAAACCGTCAAATACTCTTCTTCTTCAATTCCTTCAGCACGAACAATTTCATTCCCCTGCTTCCCCTTCAATTAATCTTCTTCTCTCGTTCTCGCCTGCCCTCACCATCTCCTTCACGCATAGGTTGTCCTCCATTGAAGCGCATTCCCTGGGCTTTCTCACCTCCATTGCCGCGCAACTCCTCTCTTTCTCTCCATATATAGCTATCTCCTCCATTGAAGCGCATACTGTCGAGCTTTGTGACCTCCATTGAAGCGCATTCTGAGCTTTCCAACTCCATTGTAGCAGCTTCGAGGTAAGAAATATTTCGTGGTCTTCCTAGTCTATTGAATAGCTTCGCAATCTAGGGTTAGTCGTTGATTTAGGGTTTTCTATTTTTTGTGGTTTGCTTTGAGATTTTGGGTGGATTATGTTGTAACAGTTGGGTTGGGTTGTGGCCTAAAGAAAAAAACTCAAATTTTTACAAGTGGGATCACATATACCTGTGTTGCAAACTCTGTAGCAACGAAATTCCCTTCTGAGCCTAATAGACAATGATGGCCACAGAGGCAGACCTTTGTAGGGGCATGCGTGCAAGGGCTTGGCCTTCCCTGAAAATTTGCCCAAATTAATTTTTTTGTACATCTGTAATTAAAATTCAGTAAAAGCCACATTTTTATGACTGGTGAGAATGAAGTATAGCTGCTGGCATAAGTTACACATCTTAATTAAGGTAGAGCTTAGAGCCAATAGAGGTAAGGCTGGATGTGACTTTGCTTGACCCTGGTGTTAGCGGGACGAGATCCATGCTGGAAATAATTTCTAGCTATTGCTGCTGTTAGTTGTGCAAAATACTAAATTGGCTTACATATCTTGTGTCCTTTAACATAATTCTTTCTGTTTGGAGGGGTGATAGTATGATTTTTTTCCCTGACTGAATGTGTTTATTTTTTGCAGCTTGTGCACTTTGTTAATCGTGACTCACTAGGTTTAGCAAATGACTTTCTATCCCTCAGATTTCTCCCTGAAGGTGTTGATATCCTTTTAGTTTCTAATGCCTTACAAACATTGTGAAAATGCTTCTCCTGGTTTGCTTCGATTTCGCTTCCTTATGGTTTTTTTTTGCTGTTCTCAATTTGGTTCTTCGTTGCGATTGATGAATTGTTGGTTGATTTTGTTGTTGTTTTAGGGTTGTCGAATCTGGTATGTAATTTGATCAGCATCTCACTCTACCTATCTCTTATTTCCCTTTGGTAAATTGGAACTTCTATAAGCTTGAAAAGATAATGAATTGTTTTGTATAACTCTGTTTTTGGTCAATTGCACTCTGAAATAGATATACATCATCGGTACATATATAGGGTGCCTCCATGCCTGTAGTGTGTTCTCTTTTTCAGTGGTAAAAGACTTGTAGTAGTTGCACCCTTTACCAGCTTCCTTAAATTGCAAATCAGTGTCTCATATGTACTACTTTATGACCTGTTTTCCTTGATGATTTGTGTTGCTCAACATCTTTCCTGTTTTTTTTTTTTCCATTCAGTTCTTCTTGCCATTAACAAGTCCAGGGCATTCATATATGCATACTTCGCTCTTCGTTGTCTTTCCTACATTCTAAGTCTCCGGAGTGTATTCTGCATTGCTATTGCCTATGCGGTAAGATATTACTCAAGTTGTCATTTGGAATTTGTAAATGGAAATGACTAAGAATAAAAGTCACTCTCTGATAGGCAGATGTAGTTGAGGATGACAAAAGAGTTGCAGCATTTAGTTGGATCACAGGTGTAATGTTTGCTTCATATGTCTGGGGAGTTTGCTAGCAAAGTTTATTCCGGGAAAGTACATATTTGAGGCATGTTTTTACCTCTTAAGATGTTGCTGTTTACTGTGAGTTATCTTGGTTGTTAGCATTTCTCTTACTGATAGTGTTACATTAATTTCAGCTGTCAATTCCTCTCTTGATCATGTCTCCGCTCTTTATTCAACTATTCATGACTGAGACTGCTAGGCGGGCACCTGTGACAAAGCAGTCACTATGGTCCATCTTTTTTAAGTCCATCAGAGAGTGTTACAGTTCTATTAAATGTGTTGCTGCAGTAATTTTTACCAAGTATGTTCTTATTGTTTGTCGAATCTGTTCTCAAATTGGAGTTTGATTGAATAGGCATTTACAAGATGAATACTCAAAATTGACTATGTCATCATTGTTGTAGCTATCATCTATGAACGCAAATATGCAACAAAGAAGACTTTGCACTCAATTTTTCTGTTTTGACAGAGTGATTCTGATGGTAAAGGCTCAAATCAACAGGAGCCAGAGATGAAAATCAAAATCAGAGAGTTAATAATGAAACAACTTCTGGAAAAGGAGGTGAACAAAAGAGTAAGCCAGTGTCTGATCCAACTTCTGGCATTTTGGTACACCTCGAAGATTGGTGGTATGGCTCTAAAAACTATTTTACCTTTTCTGTTTTTATTTTATTTTATTTATTGTTTAAAAACTAATCTACAAATTGTAAACTATAAATCTCTGCCTGTTTTAAGCTACGCAAATTTGAGAGGTTAATAAGTTTAATATTGATGCGTGCAATCTGATTATTGGAACTCCTCTATAAATGCATATTTAGATTATAAGAGTTTGGAGGATGGTTGATTTTTCCAAGCTACTTTTTAGCTGAGTGATAAATGGAGGATGGTGTTGGCAAATCTATCTTGAAGTTACCTCGAAGAAATTAATTCCTTAATGATAAGGGGATGGGACAATTTGACTATTGTATTAGGTCAAGGGGATTCTGCACAAAAGATACTTTGATTTCTGTAATTGATTAAGGTTTGTATGATATGGAATCTTAAATGACTTTAGGAAAGGTGAATGGCAACATCCCTAGAAGATCACAACACTAAGATTATGCAGTCTTATCAGAAATAAAAATCTTTGAACCAATGCAGATTTGCTGATTTGGTTTTAAGATCATCTGTCCAATCTCTAGCGTACTAGATATCAGAAATAATCCATACCAGAGCAAAAAAGATGTAAATACTAGGAATAAAGGAGTTTATATGTGGTATTTACATTTAGGCTCTTGTATTTTCTTGTTCTGTTATGTTGATTTTACCTCATGAATGGATGTCCTGCAACCGTGAACAGGTAAGGTATAGGTCAAACACCCCATTAGTTCTAAAAGGTATCACACTTGGCATAAGAGGAGGCAAGAAAATTGGGGTTGTTGGTCGCACAGGGAGTGGAAAGTCCACCCTTATACAGGTATTCTTCAGGCTAGTTGAACCTTATGGAGGGAAGATAATAATTGATGGCATCGATATCTGCAAGATTGGCTTGCATGATCTAAGGTCTCGCTTTGGGATCATTCCACAAGAGCCGGTACTATTTCAAGGAACGGTGAGAACCAATGTGGATCCACTTGGTCTTTATTCCGAGGAAGAGATATGGAAGGTATAAATTTATCCTCTCTAATATTCCTTTGCTAAGTAGTAATCACATCAAAATGATATAGAATATAAGTATACTCCAAGCATATAATCTAATCTTCAGCATGTTTGAAATTTGTAGTTACATATACTAATGTACCACAACTTAAACTAGATGATGGGGTGAATATAGATATGTAAACTACTACAAAATCATGTCATCACAAATACAAGAAGTGAGATATGCATGCGAGAAGTAAATATGTCCAGAAGGGGTATTTTTACTAGACAACCAGATTAACAAAACTCCGCTACTGGGTTTCCCGCTGCCAGTTCCAAGCCTGGATAAAGGAGGGTTGCAGTAGGCCAATGAAAGCTAGTGTAAAACTTTGTCACATGACATGAGCCAGATTAATAAAAACAAACTATTTCAAACCTGATTATCGAAACTAAAATTGTTCTGATCAAAGTTTACGAATTGAACTATTCATTAAGTGTACATATAACATACTCTGTAAGTCCGTATATTTCATGCTGTATTCATTACATGTACCAATGTGAATTAGATTTTTCTCTGTTCTCTTCAATTGGATTTTGCTGAGAAATTGGTACTTTTGATCTATGCAGATTTACTATGTTTTTGTATAAATTGTATTGTCATATGCAATTTTGATATAAGATTAAAAAGTACTTTTTCAATTTATTGATACAAAACTTATTTGTATGCAGAACAATGACTCCTTTAAAGTTCATATGATATGATTAAGTAAATTGGTAATAAGCTAAGGAAATTGTAATACAGAACATACCTTTGATGTATGATGCTCATTAACACGTACATAGTCCTCATCATTGTCGAATGAGCCGTCCAAATTCCCTCTGCAGTTGGGCAACCCAAGAGTACAATCAATATCCTCAACAACAAGTATAGACTTATTGCTTGTTCTTAGCATAAGCTTTAGAGTACCTTAATTTGGGATCAGTTAATATTAGTATATGGCATGTGTTACTGATCAAATGCATGGAGAAAAACCTGATTGTGTGGTGTTTATTGCTTATGTATGTTGATATGTTTAGGAACTATAATTTAACTCTTTTTCCATGCAGTACGCCCTGCCATACCTGGGATGCTTTCCAACTGGCTCATGCATCATTTAGTCTTTATTGAATTCGGAACAATGCAGTGGTTCCCCGGAACAGCCAAATGGCTGGTTGTAATCTGGGGGGCCATCTCTTCTTAGGGAGGATCCCATTGTTGAAGTTGCTTTGACCGAGGCTAATGATGGTGATGAAGAAGATGGCTCTGGGAGTAATCTTTCTGCTGTTAAAATCCATGACGATGAAGTGAGTGTGAGATTTTTGGTCTGTGGGGTGGCATGCTCATTGGTGAGTCACTGAATTATGAAGCCTGCTTGTTTCATGGCTATGAAAAGGACATTTGCTAATATACACATCTCTTTTGTAGGATGCATATTTGTTGGGATGTTTGGAGGATGGACTGAATGCACTTTTGGGCATAGAGGTAAGTTCACCTGTTCAGCCCCCCCCCCCTCTTTTTTTTCCCTCTTTATAAACTCGATTTATTTGTTTTTTCCCTCCATGTATAAGCATGGAGCTCATCTTCAGTACAGATTATTTTGTATTTTTTCATATGGACACTTGGTTAGCAATAGGTTTTATGCTGGTTTTCTCCATATTATGCCTCTTTAACGTCTATCATGTCTGTTCCAATGCGCTGAATGTCATGAATGGTGCTGAATGCAATTTTAGGGCAATAAGATAACGAAAAAGATCTCCTCGGCCAAGCTAGCAAACCAGATTTTCTCTCTTGAATGGAAGAACAGCAAGAGACAGGGCCATGAATGTGGCTGGCAATTTTGACAGCTCGTGCTGGGTCTGGTTCTGGCTGCCTAGCCGTGGTGTAGCTTCTTCTGGTTGCTGATTTGCTTGTAGCTGCTGCTTGGGTTGCTAGTCGTGGTGTGGCTGTGCTGTCTCATTCTCTGTTGCAGGCTTGGGGTCAGTGGGAGCAGTCTGCAGTCTGTTTTTTTTTTTTTTCTATTTATCAAAGATGTAGTGCTCTTTAATGGATGTATGACACAAATATTGAAGAAAATATATGTGTTTTATGTATATTATGATTATATATAAATATTTGTACAATTTAAGTGAAAAAAATGCAATTTTTTTTTTTTTTAATTTTTTTGGGATACTTTTGGCACCGATTTTAGTAAAGAACTGGTGCTAAAAGTTTTTTTTTAATTTTTGGAGACTGTTCGCACCGGTTCTAAGAAAAAAACCGGTGCGAAAAGTCTAGTTTTTGGCACCGGTTTTTCCTAAAAACCGGTGCAAAAAGTCCTTTTTCCCACCGGTTTTGAACCGGTGCGAAATCTATGGGGTTTTAGCACCCCCCAAATAGAACCCGATTCAAAACCGGTGGGAAAGGGGGGGTTTGAACCGGTGGGAAATTCGTTTTTTCACCTAGTGTAATATAATCAAATTTATTAATGTAATCTTTCTATGATAATTATAATTTTTATTGTAATTATTATTATTTTTGTGATAATTTGAGTAATTAGTATTAGTATTATTAGTTAATATTAGTTATTTTTGTGATATTAGTTAATGTTAATGTTAATGTTAGTTAATATTAGTTAATGTTGTGATATTAGTTAATGTTAGTGTTAGTTGATGTTAGTTAATATTAGTTAATGTGATAATATTAGTTAATGTTGTCCTAATGTTGTGATATTGTTGTTGTTGTTGTTGTTGTTGTTGTTGTTGTTTGTAAATCCTATTCTAGTGAAAATATGAGCAGCAGCACGTGCCCCAATATTTTGAGTCTTCGAGAATTTCTGGATCCGCTTCAGCAATGCAACCGCCTCCTTCTCTAATCCCCCAAGTGTAGAGAATGAGAAAGGAAGGAAGCCATATCCAATTGCCCGACAATTGGATTCATGCTTCACCCGCTTCAGATGAGCTACATCAGCCACAACCATCCAGGAACACAGTTAGATAACCCAGACTGTGTAACACCCTAGAAATTCCTTTCCTTTAAAATACCCATTTTTCCCCTTTTTAAAATACGTAAAAGGAAAATCTAAGACATTATCGCCACCGTGAAAACGGCCAAGGCAATTATCAAAGACACACAGCGGAAGACTATCTTTTACAAAAACTTAAATGAAGTAAAGTTTAATAAATCAACTCAAATTTTAAACCAACTTACACTAAAACAATAACTTAGAACCATTAAAGGCCCTTTAAAACCAAAGTAAATATAAACATTAACTAATGTTAGTGTCAACAATTACATGAATAATTCAATAAACTAAACAACAAACAAGAAACATGTAACCCTCTTCGCTCAAACCCATCATGCTTGATATGCTTCATCACCTGAAAGCTTCTCTCTACTTGTCCCCTCTACTAGCCATTAGAAATGGGTCGTCGTAGGGCCAAGGTAAAGACAAGGCCAACAAACATGCAAACACACAATCGGCAATGCTGAGTACATAAGCGTAATAAAACACACTAACATGCTTGCATCCTATCAACACACAACTTACCTTGTTGCACCTGTTCACAAGCATACAAGACACTCAACACCTAACTAGACAATAACTACTCCAATTATTTAGCTTGATTACGCATCGAACGGGTTTCCCCCCTAACCTGCCCCAATAAAGGGGTATTAACACGGGAGCTAACCGTGAAAGTATAAACCACTTGTAAGTGGCGGAGCTCCTGCGCATAATAAAAAGGAATATACAGCGTCCTGTACTCCCGGTAGAAGTTATGGTTAAATATAAAACCCCATAACTCCCCCCATATGTTCATACTCAAGGTATATACGTTCCAAGAGTTTTGGTGCTTAATCTCTTTCACTTTACGTTATTTACAAATTATTAGACTTGGTGATGACTCTCAAACACAACACAAATCAAACACTATAATTTATCCAAGCATTCAAACATACCAATTTAAATTCTTGAATAATTAGTGACCACATAAATTTATAGTTGAACCCTTTTTAAACTACCTCGGTGTTAAATAACACCTTAAATGCATAATGTGCCACAAATCCTATCCCTCAATGTTTAAAACACCTTAAGAGTACTTGGGCACCAAAAACATAATTTAATCCTTGTGTACATAGACACTTAAATAGCTCATTCCTCATTCTTATAGCATCAATAAAAAATATATGAACCATAATAAAATTCCTTTTCAATATTCCAAACCAAATTAAACAATTAGTTTAATTAAACATGCTCTTAATCATGCCAATAATAAAAGTGTGGTTCATATTCAACATGCCAACATAATTTATTCCAATCACCAATTCATCTCAAATAATTCATACTTCACAAATCAATCACCAAATCAATCCAATCAACAAATTCCAACCAATACTTATCATGATACTACTTGGAATTAATTAAACAAAGCCTAGCATGCTTCTACATATTCAAGTAATTACTAAGTACGTGAACGTACCTTAAATCATCTTTTCAACTAGCCACAATGCTAGAAATTACTCAACTTAAAGTCTCCTACAATACCAAAATTATAAAGAAGTATTAATACCTCTTTCACACAAATTTCCAGCAATATATACTCTCTTTAAATCACTCATAAACCCTCTAAAATAATCTGAATTTTATTTAAAACCCTTACTTTTATTCCTAATTAATGGGTAATTAAAAATCCTTTCAAGAAACATAATTATAGTTTATATATAAAAATTCCAGCATTATTAAAACTTATAAAATTGTTGTAATTTGGTTTAAAAATATTAATTTCAATAGTTTTAATCAACCACAATCAAATTCCATCAATAAACATTAATTTAGAAACATAGGGTTTTCAATTTGGGGCTTTTTGATTAAAAAATAAATTTGAAAATTATATTAGAACATTAAACCTTCGTTAAAAATCAAAAACTGCCCGAAAACCATTATAGGCTGAATTTGGCCAGGAGAGGGTAGTGCTCACTACTTAAGGTAGTGAGTTTTGTTTAAAATGTCGTTTACACACGAAAAACACTATTTTTTTTTTGTAAAAATCGGACGAGTTAGAATCTAAACATGATTAAAACGTGATTAAAAACTAAGAACGAAGAATAGGCAATACGCAACCACCTAGGTCGCAACTGCGGCGCCGCCTGGTGGCTGCTGTCGTCGGCGAAGGTTGGTGGTGGTGGCTGGGTGTGTGTGGTGGTGGTGGTTAAACAATAAATAATTAAATTAATTAAATTAAAGGGGAAGGGGAAAAATTAAGGGAAAAATAAAATAAGAGGAGAGAGAAAATTTACCTTTGGGTGCACTCCACCCTAGGCATATGATGGGTATTTATAAACTCTCTCATAACCTTCTACTTATTATCCTTAATAGTCCCTTTCCTACTCAAACTAGGATTCCTAATCCTAATCAAACTAGGATTTTGACTTTCCTTAAAACTTTGACTTTCCTTAAAACTTTGACTTGTAAAATATTTTCAAGATTATTTAATAATTAAAATATACTTTTAATCAAAATCATTCTTTTTAAATTAATGAAAACTCTAAACAATTCATTTCGAATTATTTAAATACTTTTAAGAAAATACTTATTTAAATTAAAATACGTATATGGGGTATTATTGACTGTGTCAAAGGAGAAGTCCCTGTCAAGTCAATACAGACATCGCGACCACGATCCCATGAATAAAGTAACACATCTGTAGGTTTGAGAGCCCCGTCGTTCCCTCTAGACAACCCAATGTCAACTTCCTTTCTACCTGAAATCCCAGATTGATAACAAACATCAACAAGGGTATCCCGCACAACATTATGCCGATGTTTAATACCCACTTTACCAGCACGACACCGCGTGATCACCGAAAAAATCCCTAGTAAAAACCCTTGAACAAGCAAACCACGGCGTTGAGACAGAGAACAATGGAACACCCAAGCGGTAGCACAACACACATTAGTAAGTCTTTAAGTTCATCGTCTAACCCAACCTCGAAATAGGAACCGCTCGAAGCCAAGCAAAGGTGTGATCTCTCTGCTGCGATTTCCATAATGCTGATTGACGAGGAGATAAAGAGATGATGGATTCTGCAGAATCGGTAACCTTTGTGAAATATATATCTGCCAATTTCTTTATTATTATTATTATTGTTATTGTTGTTGTTGTTGTTATTGTTGTTGTTGTTGTTGTTATTGTTGTCGTCGTCGTCGTTGTTTTATAGTATTATTATTGTTGTTGTTTTAAATATATTACTATTGTGATTAGTGATATTATAGTATTTGTGATATAAATATTGTTATTAATATTATAATAAAAAAAAATAATATTAGAGAATTTTGTGTGTGTGTGTGTGTTTTTTATAGGATTTGGAGTTTGAAGACGGCGGTGATGGTGTGAATTATAGTGTATATTTTGTCACAAGCATGTTTTTTTCCAACGTTTGATGATGCAGTTAAATGGGCGGATACTGTTTCCATAAATCTGGGATTTATTTTGGTTAAATCGTCTTACAACAAAACCAGAGATGGTCGACCGTATCAATATTTGAGATGTGATCGGGGACGGAAGAGCAAGCCGAGAGATTTTGAGAACGCAATACGAAAAGACACAAAAACCAAAGCTAATGGTTATCCTTTCTACATCAAGATATATTATGAGTTCATCACAGACAGTTAGAAGATCCGTGCATAAAATGATGCAAGTGGGACCCATAACCATCCAATGATTGTGTATCAAGAGGGTCATCGTAAAATTAGTGGCTTGAGCTCGGATGCAAAGAAGGTTGTGCGTGACATGACAAAGTCCAAGGTTGCACCGTGTAACATCATGGCAACTATTGCAGAACAAAATCCTAATGATCATCCAAACATTAAACACATTTACAATTGCCGGAATGACTTGAGAACAGAGATGTCTGAAGGCAGAGGATTTGTTCAGCAATTTCTTCATTTGGCGAGACAGAGTCAGTATATTTACTGGGTCATGGCCTATGACCTCGGCGTTCTACAACATGCATTTATGGTGCACTTAATCAAGGTAAACATACTATGCACATACCCACATGTTATGGTATGGATTAAACATACAAGACCAACCGATACGGGATGTCGTTCTTTGATATAGTAGGT